GTCTAAATTTATGAAATGATGTGATGCTGGTGTGCCAGTGCAAATGAATAAGTCTTTCATTGTCATACGAAAGAATACGTAGGGGAGGCTTACATGTCGTCCACTAATATACTGCTTGTTGAGCTGAAATGGAAGAATTGAAGGTGTTAGGACAAAATGATGGGTCAACAATGACAAGACAGCATGACTTGTTAKATACAAAATTAAACAAGAACAAGTGCAGGATTTAAAGTTATCGTTTCATGACATAAAGACATCATGCCATGGAGTGGTTAATGTTGATCTTCAGTTTGGTCCATATATATTTGGACAGAGACAACATTTGTCTAATTTTGGTTCTAGACATTCCCACAATGAATTTTAAACAAAACAATTCAGATGCAGTTGAAGTTCAGACTTTCAGCTTTAATTCAGTGGGTTGAACAAATGATTGCATAAAAATGTGAGGAACTAAAGCATCTTTTAAACACAATCCCTTCATTTCAGAGGCTCAAAAGTAATTGGGCAGATTAAATAATTGTTAATAAAATGTTCATTTCTAGTACTTGGTTGAAAAGTCTTTGTTGCAATGACTGCCTGAAGTCTTGAACTCATGGGCATCATCAGATGCTGTTTCATCCTTTTTAATGCTCTGCCAGGCCTTCACTGCGGCGGTTTTCAGTTGTTTGTTTGTGGGCCTTTCTGTCTGAAGTTTAGTCTTTAACAAGTGAAATGCTCAATTGAGTTGAGATCTGGTGACTGACTTGGCCATTCAAGAATATTCCACTTCGTTGCTTTAATAAACTCCTGGGTTGCTTTGGCTTTATGTTTTGGGTCATTGTCCATCTGTAGTATGAAACGACGACCAATCAGTTTGGCTGCATTTGGCTGGATCTGAGCACACAGTTTGGCTCTGAAGACCTCATAATTCATTCGGCTGCTTCTGTCCTGTGTCACATCATCAGTAAACACTAGTGACCCAGTGCCACTGGCAGCCATGCATGCCCAAGCCATCACACTGCTCTGCTGTGTTTTACAGATGATGTGGTGCTTTGGATCATGAGCTGTACCACACCTTCACCATACTTTTCTCTTTCCATCATTCTGGTAGAGGTTGATCTTGGTTGCATCTGTCCAAAGAATGTTCTTCCAGAACTCTGCTGCTTTTTTTAGATGTTTTTTTTTAGCGAAGTCCAGTCTAGCCTTTTTATCCTTGATGCTTATGAGTGGCTTGCACCGTGCAGTGAACCCTCTGTATTTACTTTCATGCAGTCTTCTCTTCATGGTAGATTTGGATATTGATACTTCTACGTCCTGGAGAGTGTCGTTCACTTGGTTGGCTGTTGTGAAGGAGTTTCTCATCACCATGGAGATTATTCTGGGATCATCCAACACTGTTGTCTTCTGTGGGCGCCCAGGTCTTTTTGCATTGATGAGTTCACCAGTGCTTTCTTTATTTCTTTCTCAGGATGAACTAAAATGTAGATTTTGCCACTCCTAATATTGTAGCAATTTCTCAGATGTTTTTTTTTTCTTTCTGTTTTTGCAGCTTAAGAATGGCTTGTTTTTTCATCTGCATGGAGAGCTCCTTTGACCGCATGTTTACTTCACAGCAAAACCTTCCAAATGCAAGCACCACACTTCAAATCAACTCCAGGCCTTTTATCTGCTTAATTGAAAATGACATAATGAAGGGATTGCCCACACCTGTCCATAAAATAGCCTTGGAGTCAATTGTCCAATTACTTTTGGAAACTTTAGAAACAGGGTGGGCACATGTTAAGGAGCTGAAACTCCTAAACCCTTCATCCAATTTAAATGTGGATACCCTCAAATGAAAGCTGAATGTCTGGACTTTATGTTCATGCACAATATATACTGTAACTATAACTTGAATATGTTTCAGTAAACAGGTAAAAAGACAAGATTTGTGTCAGTGTCCAAATATAAATGGACCTAACTGTATATTAATGAGTGATTATATTAACATTAACAGGATTACAATGCTGATAATGAACATCTGAGTACTTACTTGTGATGCAAGGGCAGATTCTGGTTCAACTTTGGTATTTAACTCCATCATGTTCTTATTTGAAGCATCTGATTGGGTCTTAGAGTCTACTGACCTGAAGGAAACATCAGGCTGTTTCACGGTCCACCTTGTTAGCAACAAATACATTTCATTTGTGCATTCTCTATGGATAATTTTGTTTTGTCATTAGTTTTTTTTCTATTCAAAACAACAGTAAATGTTGAGACCCACCACAAAAATTCATTGGATGAATTTTTAGATGAGCGTCGTCTCTCCAACTTCCATTTCCTGTTGCCATTTTTCTCAGGGTTGGGACTTAGGTCTTCCCATTTATCCAGTGAACCAATGGTTACTGGGGACAAAATGCAAATTAGATGACAAATTCATGAGTAAAACTGTCTCAGTTAAAAAAAAGGGAATCAAAACACATTTTTAGGGTCTGAACAAAAACATTCCATGTGAAAGTTGACTTGAAGGTAATGTTTTGATTTAAACAAATGCTGATTTGTTAAAGTGAAAAGAGAAAAATACTTAGGTCACCATTAGTCAAAAGCAATTAAAAAAGCAATTTATTTTGACAAGCTAAAATACAAACCTCTTTTTTTTCAGCCTCAAATTGAAACCTTCCAAGTTGGAGGAACACTGATTAAAACAGACAATTAATGCCACCAATGTCCAACAAAACAAAACAGCTGCTGATTTTTACTGCCAATTTTTCTTCGAAACATTTTGAGGACTATAATCAATCTCACCGCCACACAATTTAACTGACCCTTCAACGTTACGTTATCCCTTTCACCCTTTTTAGCTGGCAAATACAAAAGTAATTGGCTGTTTCCTGGAAATGTCTTTCGAGATGATCCCTGTCATTACATTAAATTGCTTTGACCCCTCTGTGGCCCACGTTGAGCGTGTGCGAGGTAAGTTCCATGGGGAACAATGGAAATTATAGTCGTAGAGAGTGTGGAGGAGAATTGCCATGACAGTTTTGAGAGGTTTATGGCTTTTTAACAACGAGGTAAAGTGGTTGATGTTAAGTGTAACACTGTGTGTAAACATCACAGAATAGATCAGGAAAGAATGAAAGATTTGTCATCTTAACCAGGTCATAATCGTGTTTTAGAATAAATAAAAATCAAAAACCAACAACACGGTGATGTTTTCACCTGAGTCAAGAGACACCCTCTCTTGGTTTCGCATGTTTGGTCCCGTCTGTTCCACTTCCACCTGGATCAGCTCCGTCTCATCTGTCTTTTTTTTGTTTGAGATGTTCTGCTGGCCATCGCTCCGGGATGTCAGGATGCTCTTCCTGTCCTTGCTGTTCCTCCTCTCACCGGGTTCACTCAGATCTAGAAGGTCCAGTGTTGAAGACAGAACTGTGAAGAGACAACGCTTGGTTAGCACGGCTACGTTTTTTTCTGCATTTATAGTAAATAATTGACAAATTCAAATACTGGACAAAGCCAATCCAGATGACGAGAATGAACATAAAAGCTGCTACCTCTGGACAAATGTTATAACTGTGACTGAAAATGAGCTAAATAGTATGCAATGAAATTCATTTTTTTATTAATTTTTTTGCAAAAAAGTAAATAATTTGTTTCCTGACCTCATGAATGTCACACATCATGAATAATTTTATTTTCCATCAAACCAGACCTAAATGGAGTTGGAAACATTTTCTGCCCATGAACCAAACACACAGACACAGCTGCTGTGGCAAAATAAGTATACTAAACAAAAACAAGATTTTTTTATGCCACAATATTTTGAAGAAAATTACAGTTTTCTCATGCATCTTCAAGTATCCTGACTGTGTTGTTTTATTTTGTGCAGTGTGAGTTCATACAGGAACATGGCTGCATAATTGCTGTTTGATGACAACAAATTGTTGACTGAAATCGGTGTGTAATTAAAGCATGGGCTTGTTTTTTTTTCATGCCTCGTGGCTCTAAATCACTCCTTAGATAACAAGCACAATAATCAAATCAGAGGAGACACAATTAGGAGGATTTTTGACTGAGTAGTATTCAGCATTAAAAAGGAACACAAGTTGCTCCTAAAACACAAGTGGTGGCAAAATATTTATTGATTAAAAATGTTCTAAAATATGAGACTAAAAAAATAATTTTTTGGCCACCCATTTACTGTTTGAAGTGAAAACATAAAATTTGACCACAGAAAATATAAGTAAAATTTATTTTAGGAAAATAACTTGCATTTTTGTTTCAACTTTCTAGATTTACTAATTTAAACTTACAATAAACCTAGTTATGACTCAACCAAATACATTAGCACAACAATTTGTACTAAATTGCATTTTTAAGAAAAACTCCACTTGAGTTTAAAAATAAAACTCCCTTAAAAATAGATGAATTCTAACCAATGTAAAAGACAAGGTTTAAGTTGATCACTCAGACTTAATACTTGGTTTGGTCACAGTTAGAGGATGTCGACCCAAGAAACAGATTAAATCAAAGAATTTAAAGATCAAAAAGAACAAAAATAATAATAAAAAAAGCTGGCGTGGCAGCAAAATACACAAGGTAGCATAAGAAACTTGAGGGACCAGGAAGCACAATGTCAGGCTGCAGGTGAACTGAGAGAAGGAGCTTCAGAAGGCTGGGGGTCAATGAAGCAAATTATGACACTGAGGACCACTGTCCTACATGTTTTACTTGTTTCTCTGCACCAACACAACTGATTTGAACGAATGGGTGGTTACAAAGCTTCTGCACATCTCCAGGAGGTAATTCAAACACTGAATCAGGTGTGTTGAAGCAGGGAAACAAGTAAAACATGCAGGATAGCGGCAGTTAAGGAACAGATATGCCCACGCATTGGTTAGACTGATGATCACAGGGAACAGGTGTGAGTGGGAGGGGCCTGGGAGAACTGAGGAGCAGAAAAGACTGAGGAGAAATGTCCTGATGCATCTCAGTAATCCAGGTAAAAAATCAAAAAGAAAAAAATTGTACAGGTCTTCTGGAYGGGTTCTTCTCTAATGAAACGTTTCGTCTCTCCTCCAAGAGACTTCTTCAGTCTGAGAGTTCCAGGCAAAATTCAGGCTTTTAAGTCGTGCCTCCATGTGACTGATACTCACATCACATGGCTATTGTTGACACCTAATTAACACTTATTGTTAACAGGGGGTGGAGTGATACTGGCAATAGCAGCACTGTAGGAGGGGGACAACTGAAAACGTAGGCCTCCACTTTTGTTTAACGAGAGGAATGTTGGTTTGAGAGAGGAGTAAAAGAAGCCATTTTTGTGAAGAAAGACCGTCCATCATTAAACAGAGGTGGAGGCCTCCGTTTTCAGTTGTCTCCCTCCTACAGCGCAGCTATTGCCAGTATCACTCCACCCCCTGTTAACAATAAGTGTTAATTAGATGTCAACGATAGCCATGTGATGTGAGTATCAGTCACATGGAGGCAGGGCTTAAAAGCCTGAATTTTGCCTGAAACTCTCAGACTGAAGAAGTCTCTTGGAGGAGAGACGAAACGTTTCATTAGAGAAGAACCCGTCCAGAAGACCTTTACAATTTTTTTCTTACTGAGGAGAAATGGACTGATAGCACAGGGGTGCAATGTTGCAAAACATAATGAAGCAACACAATTAAAGAAGAATAAAACACATAATTAACCAAAAACAAAAACTCAGGATTCTGACAAGTTAAAGTTTTAAAGGAGTAAATTTCAGTCAAATAAGTTATTTTTACAATAGTTTTATTGCCTGAATGTCATGGAAAGATAATAAAAAAATCTAAAAGAGACAGTCTAGTTAAAGTGGTTTTGCACAGTTGTTGAGTTACTGGATTATATTGGCAGCCTGGCTGTCACTTCATCTCACAAGGCCATCCCAACAGAAAGATTTATGTACTTTTGAATACAACAGTGCTGGCCATGATTAGTTTTAAGTTGTGGCAAACTGGCTGTTTTCCAGGCATCATGTAAGTGTTTCACATTGTGCGATGTAAACACAGAAGAGCAGCTGGATGGAGTGCTGGTTGATCCAATCTTGGCATCAGACTTTTAAAGGGTTCTTTGGCAAGATATGAAACCCATTTACCCCACCACGCACAGGATAATAAGGAATTACTGGATGAATCAGAAACAATAATGAGAGCGCCTGTGGAAAGCATTAAAAATAGTTGGATAAGTTAGAAAATAAAAGCACATCTTATAAGCATTTCCAGAACTAAAGCAATAGGTTTGTCTAAATATTTAGCTTTAATTTTTTCTAGCAGAAAAAAAAATCTCTTTCTTTCCAAACACTGCACATAAAGCTTGTGATGGACTCGGACCATTTTTAATCATTTGTGACTCATGATGAAATCTGTTTTGTCCATGTCAGTGACAGAAGGAGCAGCAGAAGGCTTTGAGGAGACAGAAGGTTGACTGGACCCCACAACTTTCTTCCATATTTCTCTGGGATGAATCAACACAGTCTGAGGCCAGTGTGGAGACAACACCTCAGCTGTGAAAACTATCATTTAGATTATGATACAACAAACTGATTAGTGTCACCGCCATTATAATATCAAGATGACATTTGGTATCTGTTGTACTGAAGCAGTCAAAGTTAGGGTCAATGCAAGGGCATAATCACCATCTAAAAAATGTGTGTGTGTGTGTGTGTGTGGTGGGGGGGGGCATTTTTTAAAGGTCTTTTTTTCTTCTTCAATTGAACAAAGTGGGGGGACAGAGGGCACAGGTATGGGAAGTGTGTGTGTGAGTGTGGGGGGGGACACATGTCCCACCCCATAGGTTACGCCCATAGGTCAATGTGTAAAACATGCGTTGTATTGTAGTAGCTCAGTTAAACAACAACATCTAATGTTGTCTTTGCCTTGTCTTTTTATTGGTGTTTTAGCATTTGGCAGAAAAAATAACATCAGCAACCGTTCATTTAAAACATTCAGCTTGTGTATCACTTTAGGTTCTTTGGTCCATTTTCTGATAATTCATGTGAAAGTAGTACCTACTCTAAATAGAAATTTGATCTTTGGTCTTTCATTGGGCTAACATCTTGTAACAGAAAAGTATGGAGGACCAAACCTGACAGAATTAGAAATAAAAGTAGAAATATATAAAACGGACCAATAAATAAATGAATACACTTAAAATGCAGCAGTTAAAATTAAAAGAACTTCACCTTAAGTTTTATAATTTAACAGACCTTCATATTTATTTTTCTAGCTTAGTTCAAATAAATTATAC